CCCCCTTCCACTTGGAAGAGATGAAACCATCCAGGAACCGTCAGGTTTCATAAGATGCAAAACATACCGGAGTCCAATCTAGTGATTCCACAGCAGAGCTGCACCTTCCTGGGAACCCATTTGTAATGGCCTTAAGGACTTTGTGGAGCTCCTTTTGGTTGCCTTTTTGGTGGCTTTTTGCTCACCAGCCTGGTGTGCTTGCTTATGTTTTCTTCTCCACCATGACGGCTTGCCAGATGAGTGCTCTTGTTTTTCTGTCATTCTTATGGCCTCCAGGTTTAATATCTTGGGACCTTAGAAGTCTACAATCAGCTGCTTTAGATCGCAGCTGATGCTAATTATGCTATTTTGCCTCATCTTTTCCCTAAAGCACCCAATTCCCTCTTTTCTTAAACTTTTCTTCTCTGTGTACAAATATGATCAAAGAAAATGAAATCAGTGTGTTGAAGCAAGATCTGAACACTCATGTTTATTGCAGCACTATTCACAATAGCTAAGATAAGGGTCCAAATGTTCATTAACGAATGTTTGGCCTTTGTCAAATATACAGTTAACAAATTTTTTTTTTCCATTCTGTGGTCTGTCTCCCTGCTCTCAAACCATTCTATAAAAAAGATACTTGAGTACGCATGTTTATTGCAGCACTATTCACACTAGTAAAAACATGGAACCAACCGTGCTGATCATTGAAAGTACTAGATTTAGCCGGGCTCGGTGGCTCAGCCTGTAATCCCGCGCCTTTGGGAGGCTGAGGTGAGTGGATTGCCTGAGCCCGCGGGTTCGAGACCCGCCTGGGCAGCGAGACCTCATCTCTACAATAAATCAAAAAATCAGCCGGGCGTGGTAGCGCATGCCTGTAATTCTGGCTACTCGGAAGGCTGAGGCGGAAGGATCGCTAGAGACCAGCAGGCGAGGCTGTGGTGGCCGGGAGCGGCCACCGCACTCCAGTCTGGGCGACCGAGTGAGACTCTGACTCAAAAAAAAAAAAAAGAAAAAGAAAAAAAAGTAGAAATTGCTACTCTATATACTTTTGAGAGCAATATGCAGAAGTTACATGGGCTAGACTATTTATCTTATTGTAGGCAGAAATGAGAGGGTTAATGGTGGCCACAGGACATGATAAAACTGCCTAAAGTATGTCTAGAATCAGGTCAGGTACAGTGGCTCATTCCTGTAAACCCAGCTTTTGGGAGGCCAATGAGGGAAGGTTGCTTGAGCCCAGGAGTCTGAGGCCAGCCTAGGCAACACAGGAAGACATTGTCTCTACAATCAGCTGGGCATGGTGGCACATGCTTGCAGTCTTAGCTACTTGGGAGGCTGATGTGGGAGGATTGCTTGAGTCTAGGAGTTTGAGGCTGTGATGAGCCGTGATCATGCCACTGCACTCCAGCCTGGGTGACAGAAAGAGACCTTGACTCAACAAAAAAGTATATACAGAATCAAACAAATCTCACCACCTTTATAACCACCATCTGATTTAAGCCACTATTATTTCTTACCCAGATAATGAAATCATCTCTTAATTAGTCTCCTTGCTTCTACTCATGTTCTCCTGCTCATAACAACCATTGTGAACCTTTTAAAATGTTACTGGTCCCCATTTTTCCTCACCACACTGAGTGAATGGGGGTCTGGCTGTGTGCAAGACTGGGGCTGGAGAAGACCTCATTCTCCATCTCTTACCATGGACTTTTCCTGGCAGCCAAGATGATGAGATGGAAAAAGGCAGACCAGTGGCTACTCCAGAAATGCATTGGTGGGGTCAGAGGGATGTGGCGCTTCTGTTCCTACCTCAAGAGCAGTGCAGGTGGGTTCTTGGACTTTTTCCTGGGACCTTTGCAAGTTCTTAGTGGTTTACAGGTTGTCTTGGGGCCCCTGTTGACAGTTAAATGGGTTCATAGTGAATATACACAGATTTAAGCACGCAATTTGGATAGAAATCTTTGAAAACTAAGGTCCATACTGTAGGTCAAGGTAAAAGTAACAAGAGTCCCTTTCACTCATTCGTGTGTTCATTAATTTATTTAACACTATTTATTGAGTACCACTGTGAGGCAGTCACTGTACTGGTAGGAAGAGGAATGAAGAGGAACAAGAGCCATAGGTTCCTGCTTCATAAAGCTGCCACTATGGTGAGGAAACAGGCAAGGAACAAGTAAATAAATCCCGTGTTGGGAAGCACTGCTTCCTGTTCTATTGAGTCTACTTGCTACTGGGTGCTGGGAGGCTAACAGGTGACACTGGCTGGCACTCCAGCTCAGCATTGTTAAGTTTCATCTAGAGACAAGCCCTAGTTTTAACTGTGAAATCCTGGGTCTCCAGGGAGCAGTAGGCACAAACCATCTTTTACTTTGCCACTCAAGAGTTTAGCCCTGATAAAGTTGTAAATAAGGGAATGTAGTGTTGGGTGCCTTTGGCCCAGCTGTCCTTCTGCTGGATGCTCTAGGTCCATGATCTGGGAAGTGTTCTTTCCCCTCGATATTCATGTTTTGGACAAAATTCAAATGTCTCATGATCCATCCTCAGAGTCTTTCAGTTTTCCTAAAGCGACAAGAGTAACAGAGAAGTCACAAAGGATTCCTATGCATTCAGTACCTTCTCCCCACACTTCCCATCCTTCTGCATGAGAACTCTTCTGGAAAATGCCTTAAAGAAGTGACTAATGGTGATGTTTGATGCAGTAAAACAGGCTGGTGGGCGATGTCAGTTGACTCACCCAGCTGCAACCACCAAAGGAGCATGATGAGGGTGCAGCTCTGTGCTTACCTTGTCTGATCTGTAGGTGAAGAGTTGTTGGATTTTTGGATCCTTGCTGAGAAGATCCTGAGCATAGATGAGATGGACCCGGAAGTGAGAGACTACTACCTGTCCCTCATTCTTGTACTGAAGGCCACCCACCTGCAGGAGGGTTCCTGGGTGGTAACACTCTGCAACATGAATATCAGTAAGAATTATAAAGCATAGTGGAAGTGAAGCCTTTGGGAGAATGTAACAAAAAAGTCAATCCAGCATCTAATAACCCTCAGTCTCTTGCTTTGCAAACTGCCACCCTCCCCATCTTCTATGTATCAGGAATGCCAGTGGAAACCCTAACCCTTAACCAGGGATGAATTAAAAGAGACCAGTTGTCCTCGAGCTGAGACTTTACCTGCCAGTGAAGGTTGACTGGAGGGAGGGAAGAAGAATTGGGCTAGGATAATTGAAAAGCTCCTGTATCTTCTGAGCCTGTCGTTCTGTCATTTTATTTATTTAATTGAGATTCTCTAGAACAAACTATAGTCCCTTGGCCAAATGTGGTAGATGTGACCTGTAAGCTAAGACTGTTTTTCCTTTTTTTTTTTCTTGAAGTGAGTTCTCACTCTGTTGTCCAGGATGGGGTGAAGTGACATGATCTCGGCTCAAGCAATTGTCCCACATCAGCCTCCCAAGTAGCTGGGACTATAGGCGTGTGCCACCATACCCAGCTAATTTTTTTTATTTACTGTAGAAATGAGGTCTCACTGTGCTGCTGAAGTGGTTTTGAGCTCCTGGGCTCAAGCAATTCTCCTGCCTCAGCCTCCCAAAGTGCTGGGATTACAGATGTGAGCCACCACGTCTGACCTGTTTTTACATTTTAAGTGGAAAAAAAAAGGAAGAGAACTACACAACAGAAATTGTATATGGTTTACAAAACCAAATATTTACTATTTGTCCCTTTACATAAAAAAATTTGCCGACGTCTTCTCTAGAACATAAGATTTATCCTTGTTTGTTTGCTTATTAAATGAGGAGACATTCCTAGCCCAAATACAAATGTGTTCCCGAAGATCTGCTATTTGGGATTAGTCACACTCCTCTCTACCCATTTAGGTGATTGAGAATTGATAACATTAAAATCAGAGCTAGTAAGGATTCTTTCAAATTATCCAGACCAAACCCCTTTCTCTGGTCATATCTGACTCCATGAAATCCTGTTCAGATGTACATGTATGTTGTTCTTAATCATTTGTTCTTACACTTTTTTGTTTTTCTTTACAATAACATTCAATGATCTGAAAAAGTAACTCAAGGAGTTCCATAAAATGGCTTATTTTTATGGGGAAAGATGAAGGTATGCAGCGTAAGGGGTCACTGTGCACTGAGCAAACCCTAAAATCATGTCCACTGTATTTTTACCTTTCCACACTCCAGGATTGTATGAGGAACTAATGAAATACTGTTCAGAAAGACATTGGAAAAAAGTTAAACCTCCCCAGCACTATCATCATTGCCATCATTGCATCATTTTTACCCTTCATCTGTCTGTCTTATTTCCAGAGTCCCTCCTGAACCTCCCCATCTGGCATCCCAACCAGTCAACCACCAGGAGGGAGATCCTGAGCCACATGCAGAAAGTGGCTTTGTTCAAACTCCAGAGCTATTGGCTTCCCAACTTTTACACCCACGCCAAGATGGCCATGGACAAGGAAGAAGCGTGCCACAATCTAATGCAGGAATATGAGACTCGTCTACACAGTGTTTGCTTCACCCATGCAGGAGGGCTCCCTCTGAACATGAGCATCAGGAAGTCCTGCCACTTTTGGAAGCAATACTCGAGCAGGAACACCAAGAGGAAAATGTGGCAACTGATAGATCCTGGCTCTTGGTCTCTGGAAATGGACCTCAAGCCAGAGACACCCCCGTCTCCACAGGAGATGTGTCCTCAGGAGGAGGTGGTTAGACAAATGCCTTCCTTGAAAGTGGCTTCTTCAAAAGAGAGAATCACTGGTTCTCTGGAAAAGGAGATTCAATGTGCCAGGAAATCCAGCATGAAGAAGAAAGCCAAGAGCCCCCTTCATATGGAGGGCCTCTTTGAAACGACGTTCTCTGCCCACCTGAGGACCATCACCCCCATCATCAAACACTCCTCCCAAATAACAATCAAGAGGTCCAACAAGCAATGCCTCTCCTTGGGGTATACCCACTGGGCCTTGTGTGCTGATGCCTGTGCAGGAAATCCTTTCCGGGACCACCTGAAGAAGCTGAATCTGAAAATAGAGACCCAGCTTCTGGACCTCTGGCAGGACCTTCACCATTTCCTTTGTGTCCTAATGGATAACAGGAAGAATGGTAATGCCATCTTTTATCACTTGCTGGGAGACAGAATCTGTGAGCTCTACCTAAATGAGCAGATTGGTCCACGCTTACCACTCAAATCCCAGACCATTCAGGGCCTGAAGAAACAGTTGCCGTCTGGGGATATGAACCCCTGGATTCCTAAAGCCCAGAAGGAGATCTGCAAGGTAAGAAATGGGTTAGTATCTGGCAAGATTAGGTCAACACTGACCAAAAGTCTTGTCTGGTCATCTATACTGGCTAAATTATTGATATAATTACCCACATTCGTCTTCACGTATTGAAGAGTTGGTTTATCTCTTCAGACACAAATTTTGCAACTTCCCCAAACCAGTCAAAGTTATGAAGTAAAATGGAGGTGGAAAGTGATCAATATCCATTTCTTCTCCACTTCCTTATTATAGGCAGTGTCCCAAAACCATGAACCTAAGAGTGTTCTGTGAGACAAGTTTTAAGAATTCTGTTATACATATTATATATTGAAAAAAAGGTCTCCCTTTACTAGATTAGCCATCAAGAAAATAACCAGTTGGAAATGGTTTATTCTTATCCCAAAACACTAGATAAAAGCTAGGGAACATCCTGAAGACTCACAGGAAGTGAAGTTCATAGCATGACTATAGTATCACTAAGTGCTTAGCAAAACAAACAAACAAACAAACAAACAAACAAAATGGCAAAGTTAAGATGGGTAAAAGATGAGAATCAAATGATAGAGACTGCTTACAAAGAAATGGATAGGGCAGTAAGGAGACCACAAGGCTAGTAGTAAGGGTAGGACACTTTTGTCATTCCTCCTAAGTGTGATGAATTGAGGACAGGAAGCAGTTACTAGAACCAGGAGAGAAAGATCTGTATGGAGTGGAATATTTAATTGACAGAAGCTGTAATCATCAGTTGAAGGATGTAACCAGTTCATGGTGATCTAGCCTGAAGGGATTGGGGAAACAGGTGCCCTAACTCACTCTCCTCCTGCTTTCCCACTCCCTGCTAGGACACCTCTGATGAACACAATCAGAGGATGAGGGAGCCTGTTGATGTGTTCCATTCAAGTTAATCTTCCAGGGCACAGAATGAGGAAGTGTAGAGAATAAATCTAGAGGAGCAAATGGTTATAAACAGCAAGTTATTTAATGCATTATAATGTATCTACCTTATAAAGCACACCCACATACCTTGTCTCCTTTATGCCTCTTAGCACTTCCAAGGGGCAAATAGAGTAGTATTGTTGGTTAGGTTGTACAGATGAGGAAAATGAGACGCAGAGAGAATAAGTGAATTAACCTACAGGCACACAGCTAGCCAGTGGATGATTCAAGATCAGATCCCAGGAGTTCTTGGCCCTAAATCTAGAATGATTTCCAATATATTATAATTATTCAGGATTGTATACATCTAGGTAGCGTCAGACCAGATCCATCTAGTGAGTTCACAGCCAAAGCTCTCCTTTGCACAACTTTTGATAAATGAAAACCCAGCAGCCTCTTTGCCTTTTGTGGCGAGAGGCTTAGAATGGGACTGTACTTCCTGGATCAGCAGATTCTCCAAGAAAATCCCACTGCCTGAATCTTGGTCTTCTGCAAAGATATTGAAGGTATTTGTGTATAGAGAAGACTGACCTATCATACTTTCTAAGACTAAAAATTTTGATATCACTCTTGACTCACCTCTTTGTCTTATACACATGTCCAATCTACTGGTGAATCCTGTTTGTGCTACCTTAAAAGTCCATCTAGAGATGGTCACTTCTCCCCTCTTTTGTTATAATCACTCTTATCCAATCTCCATCCTCTCTCACCTGTATGATTGCAATGGCCTCCTAACTGATGCCTCTGCATCTACCCTTCCCCCTCAGCAGTTCCCTCATTTCCACACTGATCATAGTGATTCTGCAAAAACATTTTATAATTTAACTGAAAATAAGTAAAAAGAAATGAATGCAGACCTTGAAAACAGATGGCTACCTCAGTAAAGCCATTTTACTTTTAGTAAAATCCAAAGTCCCTAGTAAAACTAACAAAGCCCTATATGATCTGTACTCCAATTCTCTCTACTATTCCACCCATACCCCATGCTCACCACCAGCTATACCAGGCACACTGCCAGCTTGGCTGTGTTGTGCTGTATACCATACAGGTGACTGCATGGTTTAATCTCTCTTTCCCTCAGGTCTCTACTCAAAATTCACCTTCTCAGTGAGGTATTCCTTGACCATTTTATATAAAAATTCAACCATACCATCATTTTAATTTTCTCCTTAGCACTTATCACTATCTAAATACATACATACTAAGTACATAAACACTCTAAATATATACATGATATTAGCAATATGGTGGAATAGGAGGTCCCCAGCTGTTGTTCACCCACAGGAACACCAGTTTGGCAACTACCTACAGAAAAATGTGCCTCTTGGGGAAATCTAGGGCCCAAGTAGGAGGTTGCACCACCCTAGTGGACCTCAAGACAAAAGAAAACTGCTTTAGAAAGGTAGTCTCATGCCCCCGGTAGCAGGCCTACTGATCATAATCCTGGCTGCAGATCCAGAATTAGCCTCATCCCTCTGTGGACTCAGCTGCGGCCTCATGTATCCATAGTCCTGCTACTGGCCCACCCTCCTAAGGTGCTGGCAGAAACCATCCCTGCATGAAGCCCTATTAATAGGCCCACTGACTACAAGGATCTGACTAGCCATGAAAGCAGCCCTGTGACCCAGATCCACCTTGCTCAACTGCAGTCCTACCGGAAATATCATCTGCTCAGGGACCCAACAGAAACAACTCCCACCCATGCCTGGTAACAGACTTGCCAATCCCAGATCTGACTATGGATTCTGAGGCCACCCTATCCAACTATGGACCTAGAGGAGCCACATTCATCCACAGACCCAGCCATGGCTCCCAGACTGCTAGCAGCTCCAGGTTTATCCCTGTCTACATGTGGATTTAGCTCTAGCCATGACTGTCTGCAGACCTGGAGGTAACTCTAACTGCCCATGGACCAGTCTCTACCTCTAGATCTGCCCACAGATACAGCTCCAGCCTTGGCCACCCACAAACTCAATGGCTTTACCTGTGGAACTCAACAGTAGGACTGCCTGCAGACACCACCAGCTGACTAGCTCAGATCTCTCACAGGGTTAATTGGTGAAGGCCTTTATGTGCCAAAGTCAGTCCATAAAGACTGGAAGAGGTGAATGCTCCTTCAAATACACATACAAATGCAAATCTACAAGGGTCATAGAGAACCAGGCACACATGATATCAGCAAAGGAAATTAATAAAGTTCAGTAACTGACCCTAAAGAAATGGAGGTCTATAAACTGCTTGACAAAGAATTTTTTAAAAATCATCTTAAAGAAACTCAGAGACTGCAAATAAACAACTAAACTAAATCAGAAAAAAATGGACAAAATTAGAAGTTCAATAAAAAATATAAGCCATGATAAAAGAGCCAAACAGAAATCCTAAAGCTGATGGATACAATTAGTGAAATAAAAAATTCACTTGATAAAGCAGAAGAAAGAATCAGTGAACTCAAAGACAGATCATTTGAAATCATCTGGTTAGGGGGATAAAAACAACGAGAAAGTGTGAAGATAGCCTGCAGGATATATGGGATACACAATCAAGTGAACCAATACATACATGATGAAAGTCGGAGGAGGCGGAGGAAAGAAAGGGGTAGAAAGCTTATTTTAAAAAATAATGGCTGCAAACTTTCTAATCTAGGGACAGAAATGGACATCTAGATTTCTGAAACTCAAATATATCCAAATAGGTTGAATCCGCTGGACACGGTGGTGAAAGAAGCAATAGAAAAGTGGCTTGTAATATATAGGGAGCCCCCATAAGACTTTGAGCGAATGTCTCAGTAGCAACCTTGCAGTCCAGGAGAGAGTGGAATGATATATTCAATGTGCCGCAAGAAAGAAAAAAAAGAAAAATACAAATGTCAAACAAGAATACTTTACCTGGAAAAACTATCCTTTAAGAATGAAGTAGGGATAAAAACTTTACTACAGAAAGAAAATATGAAAGAGTTTGTCACTACTAAACTAGCCTTCCAAGAAGTGCTGAAGGGAGTTCTTCAAGAAATGAAATGAGACCAGGCATGATGGTTCACACCTGTAATTCCAGCACTTTGGGAAGCAGAGGCAAGAGGATTGCCTGAGCCCAGAGATTCGTCAACTTGGCGAGACCTCATCTCTACAATAAATGAAAAAAATTTAGGCAGGTATGGTGGCATGCACCTGTAGTTCCAGCTACTTGGAAGGCCGAGGCAGAAAGATTGCCTGAGCCCAAAAGGTTGAGGCTGCAGTGGCCATGAGTGTGCCACTACACTACAGCCCGGGTGACAGAGTGAGACTCTGACTCAAAAAAAAAAAAAAAAAGAAATGAAATGAAAAGATGCTAAATAACAACACAAATGCATATGGAAGTAAAAATCTCACTGCTAAAAAGTAAATATAAGGACAAACACAGAATATTGTAATGAAGACATGTAAATCACTTTTAATACCACTATATAGAGTAAGACAAAATGGTAAGAATAATTATAACCACAGAAGTTAGTATATGGAGACACAATATAGAAAAAAAATCTGACATCAATTACATAAACTACTGAGGGAATAAAGTGTATAATTTTTATATCACTTGAAGTTAAGTTGTTATTAGCTTACAATAGACTTATAGCTATAAAATGTGTGATCTGAGGCTCACGGCAACTACAAAAAAATGTACAGTAGATACCCAAAAGATAAAGAGAAAGTAAAGTACATCACTACAAAAAAAGCAAATCACACACAAAAAAAGAGAGGAGGAAGACAACTACAAAATAGAAAACAATGAACAACATGGCAATAGTTAAGTTCTTACCTATCTATAATTACTTTAAATATAAATTATCTAAACTCCCCAATCAAAAGACACAGAGTAGATAAATGAATAAAAGGACAAAACCCAAATATACATTGCCTACAAGAGACTCATGTTAGATTGAAAACACAGACTGAAAGTGAAGGGTTTCAGAAAGATATTTTACACAAATGGTAACACAAAAGGACGAAGGTTGCTATACTTATATTAGAGAAAAAAGACTATAAGTCAAAAACTGCCATGAGAAACAATGAAGATTATTATATAATAACAAAAGGATAAATTCC